AATTATTACAGTCAAACCTGTGTTAACGACAACCTGTGCAGAGCGGCCACCTGCTCATAGCGACCACCTTAGTACAGTCCCTTCACAATTTACACGTTAAAGACACTGGATATAGCGACCACCTGTCCAACGCGACCAGCGACCACCCTATTGTACAACTATTCACACTTTAACCTTTGTATAACGACCACCAACATTTCTATCAGACGGTCTCAGCAAAAAGACAATAGCTACTTGCGAATCGCTGACAGGAAAGTGGCCATGTGTTACGTTCAGATTACCGAGTACGCAATCTTTAGAGCTAATAGACAGGGGTGACCATCGCAACCTGGTTTGTGAAGTTGAGAAAAAGTAAAAACAAAAAAGTTGAATATCATCTGAATGTAACGTCTGGAGACTGGAAAGATTTTAACAACAAATTAAAACAGTTTCATTTAAAGTTTGAAATGAAAAACTAGCTTGTTTGCGATCTTTTTTTAGCTCCATTATCGATCCCAAGCCGGCCAGCGGCACTTGTGTGGACTGTCTCGCACATGAAGAGCAAATTCCTCCCGTCTCAAAAACAAAGAAAAATGAACCAGTTTTATTAACCCTTTTCCGGTCAAGTCGGTGAAAAACCGCCGTCAATATGGGTATGCTAGAATTTACCACTCCAGCTAGCTAACTAGTTAAATTGTTGAAAAACGGCCTGCTATTTAGGTTGCTCAGATGGTCAAGCATTTATAATACGTTGTACGGAACCTGATATTTTACACTTGCGAAATTATGGAGGGAGAGAATTTGTTTTCAATTCCGTCAAGTCAAATAAATTAACCAAGTAATAAAGAATGTAATTCTATACACTTGTCTGCTCATTTCACTATTTTACCGTCACAACGTGACGTTTGCGACGACGTAAAAAAACCGCCTTGACCACATTGCAAACTGCAGCATTACAATCGTATTTGAACGACACGATTCACGGTTATAACGGTAGTAACGTATTTTGACCAGCTTGGCAAATAGTCACGGCACTTAGAATGAATAGCATGACGGATTCCAACGACTGAGCTTGGAATGTCGGCAATCACTAATGTAAAATTACCGGGACAGCTGGTGGGAAATATTCAAGTCCACGTAATTTCACCGTCTGAGCTAGCATATGCAATTTTATGTGTATGCAAATTGTAACCAATCCGTGTTCGAAAAAATAACATATTTATTTACATAACAATAAATATTCAAATTGTGGGGAGATGCAGTCTTGTGGACATCTGGTCGTTCAGTATAAATATGGCCGAAGAAAGTGAGATAAAGCCCAGACTCACTGTGTGCCTCCTTTCCGACACGTACGTTAATATGCCGTCCTATACAGATAGGAAGTGTTTTATGAAAGAAAATGCATCAATCGTGCAGTGGCACGGGGAGTGATAAGTTTGACATTGACGCAACAGATTTTTCACCAGCAAAGCGTGGAAAAAGAAAGAAATCCAAAGCAAAGGAAACACTTGACGTTGGTGAGTTACCAGCCGAACGTACCACAGACACCAGTGATAATAGTCCACTCAAGAAAAGGTGTAAAAAGAATAAGAACAAACGCATGTCAGAGACTGTCTCCTCTGTCAATTAACATGCGATTACAGAAGAAAGCCGTTTGAAGGACTGCAGGGGCAAACTAGGAGGCAAACGTAAATCGAAGACGAACCGTAAAGTGGTTGAATCGCCAGCTGCCGACAAAGCAGATGCAGAAGAAACGGAAGTTGGTCACGCTGAAATACAACGTGCCGTCGAAGATGTGATACAATTTTTGCAAGCCAATGTTTCCACCACAACTGCCAACGCAGAAAAGCAGGGGCCTGAACATGTCGACCCAGCGAGTACTCAACAAAACGTCGATGTCATCAAAGAAATGGCACAAGAAAATGTATGCGATACCGAACAATCAACACTTGCGAGTTTCCCCGAAAAACAAACTATTAAAAAACGTGTTGTGTATGCACACGCATCGCCAATGGACACGCGTGATGATGAACTTGGACGAAAAAACAGGTGAGCTACGACACAAAATACCAGATGACTTCATAGTTGCAAATGATGACGATACAGATTCAGAAATCGATGAAGATCGTGCTGAGAATGACGATTTTTTAGAGCAACGTTACCCACCTGTACTCGATAGCGACATTGAAATTGAATCCGACACAAAAATTGGTGCTACATTCGATTATGTTGCCTCCGGCACTGGTGAATGGAGACTGGCCACGGAGGAAGACGGCGATATATTTACTATTCCAGTTTTAGAACACGAACCTGGACCAACTTTCGAACTGCCTTCATATGCTCGTGAGGTGGAATATTTCTACAAATTTATCCCACCAGAACTGATA